GAACACTAGACTGGGGGCATGAGGACTACAAGTTTCATTGGATACACTTGTCCTTGTTAAGCTAACAGTGTCCTTACTTTTTCATGCGTTAGCCATTTTTCATGAGACAGAATTCAGATATTTCTTTTAGAAAGGCCCCATCAAGTCTATAACAAACGGTAATAGCGAGGGGACAAACTTAAAACAGTTTTAATGTGAATGCCTTTAGGTCTGGAAAATGTTGGCTTCTAAACCTTTCTTTGCTGATATTAGATGACTGGAGGCAATCGGCAGGAAACCTTGGACCTAGGACACATACAGTTCGACAGTGGACAGTCATGAGCCTGAATAGCTAAGTGGTAACGTCTCTGATTGCAGCACTGCGTGATGCAGGTTCAAGTCTCAGGAGGGACGTTAGTTCCTTCAAGGTTGCAGACGCGTGTTGCTGACGAGTGCCAACTGGCACGAAGCCTAGGTCAGACAAGGCTTCCTGCTAACAGTCTCCAACCACCTAATGACAACAATTCAAAGTGCACCGTGACAGTGAGCCACCTAGAATTGTGGTCACATTGCAAACTTGACTGGCAGAATTCAGTCTGCACAAAACAAAAGACTAGACTAGACATATTATACTAGTTACTAACTGGCGTCCAATCAAAGTAAACCCTGAACCTGCATTTCGAGAAATGCAAAAGTCTGATATAAATCCAGACAATAGCTATAGTTTTATTCGTGTTTCTTTAAGAGTTTTAATGTTTATCTTTGTCATTATTTCTTTCCAAGTCTTTGGCATAGTTCATATTCAAAATTGAGTCTTTTTTCTTCAATAATTTTAAGTGTTCTAATAACAGGAATATGGACAAATTTGGGAGTGTTGGTTATTCTGAGAGTGAAATAAACTGGGTAATGTACATGCGATTTACTTGAATGACTAAGAAATAAGATGCTATGTCAGTGTGAAACAACAGTTGTTAGAAATTAATAAGTAACCAGACGAAAGCATTCTACTGTTAGTGTAGAACTTGAGCACTTTTTTTTCCTTCACGTCCCCCAGTGGAACATAGGGCTTCAAGCGAGTGGCTTAGAGTTTCTGTAGCAGTGTTTATTTTACAGGATGGGGTTGCTAGCCTCATGCCCAACCTTTCCTCTTCACCAGTATTATTTCTGGCTTAGCGAGGTAAAGGAGTGCGTCGGAGAACTTGAGGAGAACTTGAACAATGGTGGAATATAATTCCCTATTAGATAAGTCTACTTTAATTATCACACAGTGATGCAGTATTAACAACTGGTTGATGCGTCGAGCATAAATTATTGCTCATAATCATATCAATTTAGTCAATTTAGAAGATTTAAATAATGAGATCAAAGAAATAAAGGAAATATTACTCGGGAATAACTACCCACTAGAATTTATTCAGAAATATCTGAAGAATCACAGAAAAACTAAGACTAGAAATAAGATTGATGAAAATAATATAGAATTCAAAGCCTCTGTAGTACTGCCGTATAAAGAAGGAATGTCAGAGGCCTTAAGTAGAATTCTCAATGACGCTGGAATTAAGGTTGCATTTAAACCAACCAACTAACTCTCTCAGAGATAAACTTTATCGGCTTAGGGAACCGATAGATCCAATAAGAAGAAATAATGTAATCTACCAAATATCATGTAATGACTGTGAGGTCATTTACATAAGTTAAACTAGTAGATCAGGGTCAACAAGACAGTTGCAACGTATAAATTAAGATAGACCTAGAATAATTGCCCCCGCTACGTTAAAGAACCTAGAAAAAAGCTCAGCCTTTGCACTGCACTCACTTGCATGTAACCACAAAATAGAGTGGGATAGAATGAGAGTATTCAAAAGTAATATAGTTGGGTGGAGGGAGAGGTTAATTCCTGAAGCTTTGTTTATCAATTCAACACCGCACACGCAACGCCTATACTGTAGATATGGAAAGTGGCAACAAATAACACAGAGAAGCTAGAGAGGCGGAGTAGAGGAATATATATATATATATATATATATATATATATATATATATAAGACAAATTGTGAGAACTTGTGATATGATTATGAGCAATAATTTATGCTCGACGCATCAACCAGTTGTTAATACTGCATCACTGTGTGATAATTCAAATAAACTTATCTAATATGGAAGAATTCCATAACTCAGGCAAATAATAGCCTATCTAGAGAACTTCATTTTCTGCTGGCTTGGAGATAACAACGACTGTGTTGTCGAAATGGTCATGGTTGACGTGCCTTTCATCAATGCGCATTTTTGTATAAAATGATATGCTACTTAATGGTAAAAATGAGTAGTCATATACCACTCGTATAAAATAGTAGCGCTCTCTAGACAAAGTGTGTACGTTGCAAATCGTTAACTAGTTCGCAAATTGTGAATCTGATTTATATGGTAGCACCAGTTCGCCCAAACAGACAACCTGAAATCAGGTGGTTTGAACTGATTAGGCTCTCTGAGCTGAATCAACCAGGATATTCCGACATTAGGTGCGACCACAAACGAGAGAAGCAACCGTTTTGTGTTTTTGGATTACTTCATTCCGACTAGCAGGCACTAATATTTGATAAGAGTGATATACGACTATTCATGCCAATCATTCAGTAACATATAGTCACATGCAAATAGGCTTGCTTTCTTCATCACCATTTATGGTATCAAGCAGATCACATATGTTGTGATCTGAATAATGCCAGTAGTCAAAAGAAAGTATGTTGAGATTTACCCCCTCGAACTGTGTACACTGCCAATTTTCAACTAATTTGCGAACTTTGAATTTTGCTTAATGCATAGGAAGAAACTTTGCCTACAATTAACATAACTTTTAAGACAGTCATCAGAACTAATACCAACATACAAGACAATCAACATTCATCCATTTCAATAGTGCTTAGTTTGTTCAACAGTCAAGTTCTTATGAAGTCAGTTAGTCTGACAATGAAATGTTCATGGTTATACCACTAGACTGAATGAACCTCCCATAAATATCAGCTCTAGCTGTATGTACGGTTATACTTCTATGCGGTAGCTAGGTTTAGACTTTTTCCTTACTTGTATCTAGTAAAATTAATGGGAATGAAAACATAGTAAACCCCATTGCAAGTGTTATGGAAGTAAATATTGCATTAGACATTGCACAACAATAATTGAACTAACTGTCTAAAGAAATAGGAACTGCGAGAAACACTCATTCGGTTTAAATTTTTTGATTATCCACAATCTTGAGGGCAACACAATCGCATTATTAGTGAAAAACATATATATCATGATGAAATCCTCCAACCAATATATTATTGAGTTTGATTTTCGAAGACTGAGGTGCTAATGCATGTAACCAGCATTTGAACATTTACTTATTGTTACTCTCCCCTTAGAACAATAAGTATTCTCCGAAGTCTAATTACGGGACTAGTAGTCAGCCACTGGATTTGCATTGCTCTTATTAAGGATCAACTCTTCACAAAAATTTGTTGCCTTTCTCACGAATCCTCCTTTGATTTTATTCCCTTTGGAACACAGGGCTTCAAGCTGGAGGCTTGAACTTTCCGTCACAGTGGTGTTTACTTTTCACAGGATGGGATTGCTAGCTTCATGCCCAACCTTCCATCTTTACCAGTCGTATAACTTTTTGATTATAGCTTGAAACCACACAGTATTTTTGGTACAAGTATGGAAATCTCAGCATGTGATATCGGTAGCTTAAATTTTACAGGCCGACCATAGATATCAGGTGTGCATCGGCAGAGGATCGAACCCCGGATCATGTGCATGGTCGGCGAGAGTCCTAACCACTGTGCTTCCGACGCACAGGCTTAGTAAGGTAAAAGAGTGCGTCGGCCAGGGATCGAACTCCGAATCACCACCACCACTACAGATACTTACTTATCCATAAAGGACAACTATTTTATAATTAAGATATATTAAATGTTCACGGTACATTATTTTAAAATATATAAAGAAAATCACTCATTCACTCATAAGGATACAACAACTAAACACGGAAAACTGTGTTAGTGAGTAGAGCATGGAAAACGATTATTAGAGTAAAAGTAATTCACCTCAGTCATGAAATTTCATGTGTGTGGACAAGTCATGGAAAAGAGAATTAAAGAAACAAAAGAAATAGACAAGTGTAACACCGCACCTGGAAATGCATCGGTTAAAATTAAAGTCCCATGTAAGTACACAAAACATACGAAAATAAACACACACACAGAGAATGGTAATACAGAGAACCAAAAAAGAAATAGTGAGCAGGCAGAAGGAGTACAAACACGAATTGTTGTTTAAACATTGAAAATTTTAATAACAAAGATAAAGCTTGATGACATTTTCACGCTGATGAGATCGGAATGCATAAAATATCCCAATGTAAATTAAAATTAATATGCGGAACAATGAGACAGGACAGAGACTAGAATCTATTGTGTTTATTAGTTGACAATTATCCACCAGAAAGTCAATTAACAAAATCACTGAGGTGCTAGGTACATAAATACGCAAAACACCTTCAGCATTCATCTCCTCGCAACAGTTACAGCACCGCCAATATTATCAAAAGAAGCAGTAGCCGCACCAATAGGAAAGGTAGAGATAGGTCCTACCATTGAATAAAAAGCATTTTGTGATATAGTATTAAAAGCATATAAAATATGTAAGAAAACAAATACTGTTAGTAAAAAAAGAACATTCACCAAGAAGCATAATTGAATACAAGGAACACTGATTGAATCCACTATTAAACTGTGATGTAAACTACTTTTCAAAGTAGTACGCAAGTTCACAAGTGGTATATGACACAGACATTGATATAAGCTAAATAGGAAACGAAACAGTGAAAATGTAGTAAACAAATAAAAGTTTAAGTTATAATCATAAATACTAACGATAAAAAATGAAAAGAAACAATGAAAAGGGGGGGAGAAGGGAGAAGGGTAGGTGGATGTTGACTTAAGCGGACAGAGTAGAACTTTACACTTTCAGATTACACGTTAGCTTCGGAAAAACATTGAATAGTTAGAAAGATGTTCTATTCTGCCTTTCTTCTCGTTCTCCTGTTCAATTTTCTCCATTTTCGCTGTTAAGTGAACACATAACAACAAATGATTAAAAGAATAGGTAGGCACCCTAGCATATAAACAATATGGTGACATTATAATACAAGAAAGAACTGAAACACTTAATTTCCTCATTGGCTGGGTCAACGAACGGTTGTCAAAAGTCATATAAAATAAACAAAGATTGATTCGAGGTTGCGTTTTTTTCGCAAGAACAACTAACACCTTCAGCTATTCTAAATAACTCTATTCAGGTTAATCATCTTCTAATCAAAGAAAACATTCAAACTAGCTAGTATTTACTTAAATTCATTTAAAAGAAAAGAAGGCGTTCAGCGAAGAGACTCTTTTCGGCGAATTCATTCACTGAGCTGTACAATTGCGTATTTATACAACTTTGTTTGTGTGTGTGTACATTAGATTTATAAAGTTTAGATAATTATGTAATATAAGTATTTCTTGGCTTGGAGACAAACGTTAAGATGGAAAATAAAGTAGAATTGATTAAGTGAATTGGATGACGTAATACAGTTGAGTAGAATTCAGAGTAGGTCAGGTTGGCAACACTGTTATTGAGTGGTGGTTAAAATTAAACAAGGGTGGGGTTAGAGAATAATACACTTGAAAATAAGTAAGTCAATCGGATGACGTAACACAGTTGACTAGAAATCGGACGTCGGTCAAGTTAGTAACTTTGGTAATGAGGGTAGAGATTACAAAAGGGTGGGTTAGAGAAGAATATAAATGAAGATGTGAAATAATAAAATACAAGAGACAAAATAATACAATTAGTAATAGTGAAATTAAGAAAGATTACGTCCATTGTAGATTTAATGAATGAACGAATTTCTTTTGTATGCAAAGTTCAGGATTTAGCAGATGAATTGCCATTGCTTCTGCGATGTGGAGAAGTTTGATCCGTACACTTTTAGCAAGATTGCCTTGTATTCTGTAGATAACTTTGAAGCTTATTTCTGGTTTGACTTGGTGTTCAGAGTCGATCAAATATTTAAGTATCGAGCTGCGGGGGCATCGGTTTCCTCCTTTATAAAACCGTAAATGTTCGTTGACGCGTTTGGATTGCGAACGCTGAGTACGGCCGACTCAATAACACTGTTGCCAACCTGACCTACTCCGAATTCTACTCAACTGTATTACGTCATCCAATTCACTTAATCAATTCTACTTTATTTTCCATCTTAACGTTTGTCTCCAAGCCAAGAAATACTTATATTACATAATTATCTAAACTTTATAAATCTAATGTACACACACACAAACAAAGTTGTATAAATATGCGATTGTACAGCTCAGTGAATGAATTCGCCGAAAAGAGTCTCTTCGCTGAACGCCTTCTTTTCTTTTATATGACTGAATGGGGATTTTCAAGTTACTTAAATTCATTTCTCTCTCGCATTCATTCAGTGTGATTTACCAATGGCCACGTTGTGAGATATGAATAAACATTCGGAATGACTTTTTGAATCAATTACTACTGATTATTTATTTTTGAGTAAAATAAAAAGAGTGTAGCGGTAGAGTAGAGTTCTTTTCTGTAAGTTCTGTACACATTCTTATGCACAAAATATCACATTTTATTTATTTTGACAGTCAATAATTTGCTGAAACCAAGTTTTTAAAAAATCAGTAGCAAGAATAAATTTGACGGAGAAAACTGTCTGACTACGTCATCCATGCATCAGCCCATTTCAATGTAGTTAGATTAGAAAAATGTATATTTTCGCTAAGTTTTACGTCATTGCTTGAAGATTTGAGGACAGAAGTTCATACATTCCAATACAAACTGAAAAAAACACCGAATTATGCATGAAAAAAACAGTTTCACTTGGGCAAAGTTTCTTCACGAAACCGCCAAAATCAGGATGAATGCCTCTGCAAATTACCACGAATGGAACTTAGTTACCTTCAACCAAGAGATGTAAAAGTAGATTCATCTTTCACCTGCTTTGGATCACATGTAAAACAATATACTTGTGCAGCTAAATTCATCTACTTACCTAATTCATAAACTTTGAACAAGATATTGAATTCGATTGGTTTTCTACACTACCGTTGAAATTGACTGCTTGACGCATTGTTGTGGACAAGTGCTCCTGAAATGTGGAATCATTTTCTGATTTCAATCCATTTGGGTATGATGATGAATTAGTATTTGATGGGATCAATGATATCGCACGTTTTACTGTTGGACCAGACGTTAATTGTATAGAATTACTTCCGTTATTCAATTCATTAGAATTCATAAGTGATAAAGGTATAACTGGATGAAATGCCGCCATGTTGGAGTTCATTGCAGATGCAAACTAAACGGGTCGATTAAAAATTGGAATTATAGTTATCGTGTCAGTGGAAGACGTAAATTAACTTCAGCGAATGTAGTCACTTTTCATATGTATAATCAGATCCTGAAACCTCTATATCTGACAAATCGAAATATTGACTTTTCAATTAGATCCACTTCTCTGGCTCTACTCTAATATGTACAGCATTTTTATTACAATACACAACAGTTCACCAGTCAAGTGGTGATATGTTTGTTAACAATAATTAGTCAGTGTCAGAATGTCAATGGGTTGATATATATTAGAGTACAGCCAGAGAAGAGGATCTAATTGAAAAGTAAATATTTCTTGGCACAATCTTCCTGTTTTCTAAATGTCAAAATGGGGATTTTTTCTATATTGAAATCGAAATATTTCATTTTTGAGGGTAATGAATTTGTAACTCAGTGTGTAATGTTATTTAAGTTACTGGCGAAATTCCCACCACTCAAAAATCAGAAGGAATGTCTACCGTTGAAAGTAGTGGTTAGGGGACATTTAAATAATCATAGCTGGTAAGAACTGGCTGTCAACTTGTGGGACAACGACTTCATCAAGCTTACTGAGGCAGCAAGAACAACATGAAATGCTACTGTGAAGCTGTACGACTCATATCAGCCTTCCTGTAACAGTTATATGATAATACGAAGCACATAATGTAGTAATGCTGTTCGAAACACAATTGACTTCATTTATCATCGCTTAGCAAAAACGATGCTACTTTCAATATTGTATGATCAGGACTCTTGGTCATGCTTTGTTCTTCAAAACTAACAGAAAAACTTTCCATGTGGTGCTTTTGTCCCTAATTACAGCCAATGAACATTATTAGTGAGAATATGTTCACTTATGCATAGGAAAATCGTCTTGTTAGTAATAATCTGAAATTGATAAATCAATAGACTCCTCAGTCACTTACATTGGGTTATGAAAGTTCCCTATGGAGTAAACGCATCTGCAATACTGACAAACTGAAGCATGCTTGCAAGTTCAGCTTTGGGGGATATTTTAAATGTAAGCGATATTCAAGTAAAACTATTTTCATTTGTGCTTCTGAGTGAAATCAAATTTTGTATATTCAAGGAAATATCCGCAGCATACAGGTTGCACACATTATTTATTGAAGACTTCAACGTGAGTTATATATGTCCAAACCAAGTTCACTTCTAACACTTTCAAAACATTTGGGCATTGAGTATATGATATTGATTATTATAAAAGATTTTGTATTTCCCAGTGAATGAAAAACAAAACGATATTATTTTTCATTCATTGGGAAATATAAAATCTTCAAGTATTGATTTTGTAGGGATTTCGTTTGATTAGTTGTGGGATTTCATCATGAGCTGACATCAGTTAGAGAACCATTGGAAAACCTAGGAGTACTGGACAGCTGTTCCGTTTTGGTTTGTGGCTCTTCATCAGTACGCAGCCACCGGGGTTCGAACCCAGGACCTTCATGGTTACAAGGCGAGCTCGTAGACCATTAAGTCCATTATAATAATGGACTTCAGCTTAACTCAATTAACACTGACATAGTGCAAAACTGCATGTATTGGTTGTCTTCAGTTGATGAAATATACTGTACTGTCATTTGTTATATTATTGCTGCATTAAGAACCTAGAGATAATCGTCATAAAACTAAGGTGATGTATTACTAGGAGACTAGAAAACTTACAGACAAAAACCAACAAACTGACAGAAGAAGCAGCAAAGACAGTACTTCAAGTAGACATAAAAAAATTGGAGGTGATGCAGTCACTATCAGCGGAATAAATTTGTAAGAGGCCACTTCATTGACTTATCTAGGAAGGATCGTTTCAAATACAGGCACACGACATGGATTAGAATGTCAAAATCAGAATCTGAAAGGCAATACGGAAGTCACTGAAGTCACTGTGGAAATCTTTTGCACTCAGCACACACAACAAGATTCTGACTTTTGACACTAATGTTAGGTCCGTCAGTGCTTCTGCATGGGTCAGAAACCTGGTCTATGCGCCAAGACAAGAATTTCCAACAGGACATTAAAGGCCTTTATCAACAGCTGTGTTCGCTGGCTCCATACTGAAGATCGGACGACCAGTCGGAAAGAATTAGCAGCAAGAACCTCCGGGAACGAACTAGTCAAAAACCTGTTGCCCTAAAAATATCCAGAGGAAAGTGGAGATGGAGATCGTCAAATGACACCACGTGCTGGCCTGGCCATCACTCTAGTGGAATCGAAAAGAGGAACAACGACTTTGTTGTATGAGAGTGACATGGAGGAGATTTTGTGAGGAGGGATGAGAAACTATTGGACACAGGGGGACCAACTAAAGAGGACTTCAGAAAATTGGACAAAGTGGAAATGTGCTGTTGAAGCCCTGTGTTCCACTCGGAGCCCTGTGGAACAATAATAATAAATAGTAGAACATTACGTTTATAGGCAACTCGATAGTTTTCTTATATCTGCTCAAAGGTATATTCAAACTTACAAAACTGCTTAGTCCTACTTTTTTCAAGCACCCTTTTCTAAAACACTTAATTAACTGATTATAGGTCGTCAAAGTGAACACTCAATCACTGATACTGATATAAGAATATCCAATTCCCAGTTTTATAGATATGCATTCAATTAAATCAAGTGTTTCGATGTAACATTGTCTTTTTCATTGAATAACCTATAATCTTACCTAAATGATGACAACAAATGGCTCATGAACAATTCAAATTCACAACTCTTTATAATGTAATATAAACTGACCATATTCTCGGGTATCTAACAATTACACTGCAACTAGACACATATCTGATGCAAGTACAAATTACCTAAACACATATTCATACATTTCATTAATCTAGAAAAATATACTGTGAACAGGAATAATATCCTCGCTAAAGACATCACTGACACCTATTTTACTAAGCATACAAAAAAAATCCTCTTTTAATCTCAAACGACTTGAAAAATAAGTGCAGACGGATGCAATACACACTGAGGTACATACACATTATGTGAGAGTTAATAATACTATATGGTCACCGTAACTCTAGTGAGCATAATGACGTTGTGAATCCATGATCCAGAAGACTGAAAGCTGACTGCTTAAGTTAATATATATATATATATATATATACTACCTGATATAGGTGCAGGTTGGAAAAGAGTAAGTGGTGGCCAAACAAAAACATGGCATCAATCCATGAAATCCCTAACAGTTAAACTGAGTCAGGTAGGGAGATGCAGACTTCCGGGTTGGGGCCCTCGGGACTCTAAGAATCAATGGCTGGAGACACTAGGTGACATGGCTCAAAATCGTTGTCAATGGCGCAGATGTATTCAGTCTCTTTAACCTTCATATTCCTCTCTACCATTACTCATTCTGTTTCACTCTTATACTTATCTAAGTTCTATTGATTCTCTTCACTCATTTTCCTGTCTATCTTTGTGTGCTATTTGGAACGTGGCAACTCGAACTGCTGCACTTCGGTGCCAAGTTCTATGTTGAATCCAGCAGCAGCAGCAGCATATATATTATTCCTTCACGTTTTCAGTGGAACATAAGGGTTCAAACTAGAGGCTTGAAGTTTCTGTAGCAGTGCTTATTTTAACAGGATGGGGTTGCTAGCCTCATGCCCAACCTTTCCTCTTTACCAGCGTTATTTCTGGGTTAGCGAGGTAAAGGAGTGCGTCGGCTGGGGATCGAACCCCGAACCATGTGCATGGTCGGCAAGCATCCTAACCGCTATGTTAACGACGCATAAGTTATAAATATATATATTTATTTATTTGTTAATCATCTTGATAGCGGAATTTTTTATTTTGTTTTGGAAGTCACATGTAAATAAGCGTAATATCATTACTTATATCACCTCACAAAAATGAGTATTCAACATACCTCTTCGTATAGTCTTAAGCGAGTTTTCAGTCGTTCAACTTCAGCAGTTAGTCGAGAATTTTCAGATTCCAATTCTACTTTTTTCCAGGATAACAAAATAATAAAATTAATATTTATTCATTCTTTAAAACAAAGCAATATGAAGAATAAAAGTTTAGGGTGAACAAGTGAAATTATATTTCCATAAAATAAAAACAAAATGATAATTAAAATACACCATATTCCCTTTGTATCCTTTCCATTTGTTTTTGGACTCTATCAACACGGAAGTCAGCATGATCTGTTCAACAGAATTAGCGTGAACTTGTATGTAATTACTCTAGTGGATTTTGTTTAAAAAACAAAATACTATCAACCACACATTTCAGAACACGGGGAAGTTAATGTGATTGATTAATCTCCAACGGATTTTAAGCTAAAAATGTGCAATCATCAATGCAAATTAATCTGGGAATTGAATTTCGTCAGTGTATCTGGAAAATATCAGTACATATACCAAGTGATCTAATGTTTCTTATACTGAAGCATGCTAAAGTGACTCTAATCCACAATTTTTATATTCAACATTGCTGAGTGATTATTGACACATCTAATAAATTAAACAAAGTGAAGACAGAATTAGTTTACAATGTAAAACAATGGAATAAAGGACTGTATATACACATTGGGTAGCTATTTCAAACGGATCTAGAGAAAAACTGTTAATTACAAAAAAATGTTTACTTAGGAGATAAACGTTTCCCGTGACCAGTTAGTTAATTAAAATCCACAGAAGTAAATAACACCGTCTACTATGATGGAGTACATAGAATATTTAGCCAGTTAGATTTGCTTACTTTCAAACCTGTTGTTTTTCTCCCATTAATAGGATTTCTGTAAATAAGACTCATCTCCCTCCAAAAAAGACCGAAATACCTTAAATTAATCTGATTAGATTAAGGTTGAGGAGCTGAAATATCACCGGTGCGTCGGTAGAAGAAAGGAGAATTCCGTAACAGAATACGTAGATGTAGGCAAAATACGTTAACCATATGTCACAATCATAATTTGCACATTTTTTTCGGTATTGTGTTTCTCTGTCTTCACTTTCATGTCTTCCACATTGTTTCACAAGCGCCATTCATATTAAATCGAACTTTCCGCTATTCAATATTCTTGCAGTTGATATGCATCATGTCCACATCTCTACACTACTAATAAATCTCGTCAATAGCACACGCCAGACCATTCCTTACCAGTTTTCGCTTCCAAATAGCAATTAGAAGACTGTGCTGTGAACAACTGAGAAGTATTCATCAAATTAATCGGTAAAAGTGAGACAGAATGAGGATAATACAACCATCTTAGCCTTTAAATTTTCTTCAGATTTCTTATATGGAACTGCTAGATAGAAATAAGAAATTTTTGTCTTATTTCTTTCTCATTTACAACAAAACAGGATCAAGTATCCAGATACCAGACAATCAGATTATTTCGTAAGCTTTAAAACATTCTCAAAGCTTGGTTTAGATGAGTGAATAATTATACTATAATGCTTTGAATGTAGAAAGACTGTTACTTTCTTCCAAAAAGTAACTGTCTGTGCATAGAAACAAGCATACAGGATTTTGAGAAAAAAAAATTAACTTGACAATCTAATGAATTATGCATTTCTCTATCTTCAAACTATGTTGCGCTGATTGTCAATTATGTCTTATTCAAGGTATCAGCGTTGTTATCACAGACGCGCAATTTGAATTATTTAGTAGAGTTATTTTTGTTTTTTCCGTATTTATCACCAACACCAATTTCCACAAAAGTGTGTGTAAAACACTATCGGGTGTTACCCATATGTTTCTAAATGTTTGATGACAGAAATTAAGGGTTACTTGCAACCCCAAAATGCAAAACTTAACCATTCTATACTACTACAATTAGGTTTCTTTACAGAAGTCACACCAGGTTGTGCTCACACAGTGCAAGGATAGTTAATCAACGTTAATATCCAGTGCAAATTCACTTACACTACCTGTGAAGTTGCATTGCAAGTGATACCGAAAATGTCAGCAAAGAATATACAAAGCAGTTAAAACTCTGACAAAAAAAATATTTGAGTCAGAAGAAATATTCTCACTATTAGTGAAAAGAGGACTTTACCTTTATTTCTCACATTTTCATCCTGAATGATTTTAGTACCTTTTTTCGTAGTTAATCTATTGCTGACTTCTTTCAGATTTTCCGATTCATTTCCTTCTTTCGTGGAGTCCATCACTTCAACTCTTTTTGCATGATATCTTTTCGAATGTTCCAGATTTTTTTCATCATCTTGCTGAAATTCTTCAGGATTTGTAATATTTTTGCCATCACTCAATTGATTGTTGTTGCTGTTAGTATTGTAATTTTCGCTTTTACTCATATGACCATTGGTTTTCATTTCAAAATTAGCCTTATCAGCTAATGAACAGGTTCTACCAAATGAAGAATGTGGTAGTGTAGAGATTCCAGTGACCCCAGATTCATTCACTATTGAGGGTGAAAATTTTGACAGACTGCTCTTTAACTCAGCCAGCTTGTAGCGAGCGAAACTTTCTGAAACTGCCTCCTCGATAAAATTCTGCAAAACGAAGAAAAAACCAAAAGTGTTGTGTAAAAATAAAAAAAGAAATGCTGTGTACTGAAAGTTCATTGTTATTCCTCGTAATATTCATTGGATAGTGCACTGAACAAGTTACAGAATGAAGTAAACATATAATGCGACATCTTGTTG